CAACCCCAACAGATGAAAGGAGGGTGGCAAGAGAATGGACATGAGCAACCCAAACATCTCGAAAAACAACTGGTGGAATATGTAAGTTACAGGGGTTTCTTATTCAAGTGTGTCCTCATGCCGGTTCCAGCACAGCTGACATACAGGTGCGGATGGGTGACAGCTAGAGTCCCTGAGATACTGTGAGTTGGTGGCCTGCTCCCTCGTGGGGTGCATGGTTACCATGGCTGGCGGAGGATCTTCTGCAGGATTATACCACTAACAGAGTAGATAAGCTGAGACGTGTAAGCCAGTATGTGAACCACTGTGAGCAGGGAAGAACCACTCTGAGCGGGGTGCCATCCTCTCTGTCATGGTCACAAACAACCGTGATAACTTGTGAACCATCTTCATTCTGAAGGAATTTATTTTAGTTCATTAAGCATTTACAGCGTGGAGTTATGGTTATGTTATAGCATAAATGTTCGTTGTATGGCAATTTGAGTTCATTAGTAGGATTAAGTATATGACAGGTCATCTAAGCGATGAACTCTGTGGAGACATGAGGCAGGGAAGCTAAAACTCAAGAAGTGGGAGTTAAGGCCTGCACAATTTCAGCCTAGCTATTTTAGGCATTGGAGACAGGACGTGATGACATGTGGGACCAGAACATGTCCCGATGACCTAAGGTTATATGAAAAGACGCACTAAGTGATAATATTGCGCAAAATTACCCCGAATAATTAATATTAGATCTTAAAAAACCCAGACAGGCCCATGTGCCTTGGACATGTGGAGCGTGGCCTACCGGCTCTCGTCAATGCTAGAGAGAATAAAGGGAACGTACCTAGCCCAGATATAATTGGCTTCTCCTAAGTGTCCCTGGCTCACAGACCAGCCAGTGACAAGAGGCTCCAATGGGCTTGTGGGGAGGATGCCAGGGAGATGCCACAGGACTCAGTAGGGAGCGTAGGCCCATGTGCATGGGCTGAACTCTAAGGCTTCAGGCCATTGGCTGGGCAGCTTGTGGGTGGGACGTGCGTGTGTCCCCAGAGTAGGTGGATGCATTCGTGCTCTAAGCCAGGCTTCTGGGGGGCATCTGTGTCCTATCCTGTCCTGGTGTCCCGCTCGCTGCAGGCTGGCTGGGGCCTGGGACGCTCAGGCACATGCTGTCCCTGTGGGGACTGTGGGTATAGCCCTGGGGAGAGGGGAAGGAAGCAGCAAGCTGGGGGGGGGGGCTATGCGCCAGCACCACCCATTTCCCTGCATGCTGGGGGAGCCCCCATAAAGAAACATCTCCCTTGGAAAGGACAGTGTGGATGGGGGCAACCACGTAACCAGCTATCGGGACTGCTCCAGGCCAGCCCTGAGCCCTCCAACTGGGAGCTTCCCCCTACACACACACACACATGCCCCAACTCCTTGCCCAGAGCCCTACACCCCTACACACTTCAATCCCCTCCCCAGTCCCCCGCCCCTCCCATGTCTCAACCCTCCACACTCAGCGAGTGTCATATTGTGCCACCTCAACACTGATCCCCCCCCTTGCCCTGACTGGGCTGCGATACGACAGTATCTGTCAGAAATGTAAGTCCCTGAGAGCAAGCACCACACCCCACTTGCTCTGCGGAGTGGCGCACAGGGGTGCCCCACCCTGCTCTCTCTCATGCTCCCCCGCAGGCGTGTAGCCAGCCACTGGACGTGAGCAGTTACCTAGTCAAAACAGCCTGAAGAATCTGAGATTGTTTGTGGAGTTTTACCAACCCGTTGTGGAAAAGAGGAGACCAGGGGGGATATGAGAGACCAGAGGTTTCCAACCCACGATCTGCAGGGCCCTGGTGATCCGTGACTTTACTGTAGGGGGTCTGCAGAAAGGGTAGGAAAAGAAAAGAAAGTAAAGATCTGTGGGACTGGGATTTTCCGCCAGGTGAGTCTCACCCAGGGCTGGCCATTGGCGACAGGACACACGGATGTTGCCTCCAGCCCTCAGGATGGGCTACTGATACCCCAGGAGACACCATCCCTCCTCCCATCACCAGCTGCACTGCCGCTTATGCTCCAGGCCTCTCCCCCAGTCCCGCAGAGGATCAGATCCTTACTTTCCTTTTCCTTTTCTTTTTTATTCTCTCCCAGGGCTCCGTCCCTGACCATGAGCAGAATGTGGGGGAGGAGCTGACTTTGGCCACAAGAGCCCCATTGCCATATCCTCCATGGATGGGAGGGGAACGAAGGGGAAGGGAGCTGAGGAAGCAGTGCAGGGCAAGGGAAAAGTTGGCCATCACTTCCTACCGCTCCCCTTGAGGTGTAGGTCTGTGGCATTTTAACAGATTGAAAAGGTCCATATGCTCAAAAAGGTTGGGAACCATTATGACAGAGGTCTATAAAATCATGACTGGTGTGGAGAAAGTGACTAAGGAAAAGTTATTTACTTGTCCCCATAACATTGCAACTAGGGGTCACCAAATTAAATCAATGGGTGGCAGGTTTTAAACAAACAAAAGGATGGTTTTCTTCATGCACTGCATAGTCAACCTGTGGAACTCCTTGCCCAAGGATGTCGTGAAGTCTAGGATTTTACCAGGGTTCAAAAATGAACTAGATAAATGTATAGAGGTTAGGTCCATCGATATTTATTAGCCAGGATGGATAGGAATGGTGTCCCTCACCTCTGTTTTTGATAGTGTTGGGGAAATCTCGCTCCCCTGGGGTACAGAGTCCCCAGAAGGGTCCGAGGCTGGAGGTCAAAGCAGTGAGGCAGGAGAGAAATCTAGAAGGAAAACTTTATTATGCATGCAGGCTGCCAGCTACCAGAGTGAGAGCAGCAGCAGCCCTGAGAGACAGTTTCAGGGATCCTTTATACAGTATGTTCAGACAGTTTAGTTGTTGATTGTTTTCTTTAACATATCAAAGTCTCGGCAGAAGTACTCTGAGACGTTTCTGTTCACCCCAGAAGTGCCAGGAGTCAGTTTTACAGTACAAAGGCACATGAGAACCTGAGTGAGGAGCCTACAAGGCAAACAGTGACAAAGATAAGAGTTTACGTGACAAATTGTGACAGACTAGGAGTCTCCATGAAGTTGAGATAGGAGGCATTGTAAGGGTCTTGATTAGAGTTAAGATGATTTCTCTCTGTTACAGGGAGAGAGGCCTAGAAAACTTTTAACCCTTACAGCAGTTTTCTTTTAGAGAGTTTTGATTTCCTGCACAGTCCCCCCTTAGACACAATTGGAGTTATTTGGTTTTTCTCCTACAATTACTTGGGAATGGATGGCAGGAAAGAGATTGCTTGATCATTCCCTGTTCTGTTCATCCTTCGGGGGCACCTAGCATAGACCACTGTGGGCAGACAGGACACTGAGTTAAATGGACTTTGGCCTGAGCCAGTCTGGCTGCTCTTATCTTCTTACAGACGTGTGTAGGTGCATGAGCTTGAATACACCCTAGCTGTAAGTGAACACACTCTTGTATTGTCCCGTTTGTGCCAGTCACGGTCAGATGGCCTTGTGGCCATGGATTTGTTCCTGGGCACCGCCTTGCCCAGTCTATGGTTACTCGGTGCTGTCATGGCTCCTTCCCCACTCTGGCATGATAAATGCAGATGGGGGGGCCAGCAAGTGTACCCCAAAGCCTTATCTACCAGGCTTTGGTATCAAACTCCCCCCAAAATCTTGAAAACCTAGATCTTGGGAATAAAACTTCCACTGCCACCACCCAAATGTTGATAAAGAAATCAGGGGAAAGATCATTTGGGAAATCTTACCCCTAAAATAAAAATCAAGGCACACCAGTAACCACTGCCAGGTTAATAAAAAGAAAAGAAAGAACTTTTATTATTACAACAATATTTCTGTTGCAAACATAATGACTAGATGGAAAGGTAACAAAATATACTCATGGAGAAACTCCATGGGCCTAGAACTTAGTTACAAAGAAAAGCCAAAACATCTTTTAAACAGTGCCAGATCTCAGATCCCATACCCAATCCTTAAAACAATAAAACCTAACGAAACTACCTAAACTTTACCCTACTTACAAAAGATGAAGAATGGTGTCTTGGAGAGAGAGAGACATGCTTGTCCCTCTCTGTAGCTGCAGAGAACTCACCCAGAGAGACAAAAGGGAGAAAGGAAAAAAACCCAAATTCCTTTGTCCCAGTTTGAAAAGTCCCACCTACATTCCTATTGGTCACTCCACCTGGCTAGGTGTAGTTAACCCCTTAATCCCCAGGCTGCTGGCTAACCCTCATAATCATGACAGGTGCCTCACAAACAATCTAGTTGCAGGTATGTCTTGTAAGTCCTGGACAAATCAGAGGCCCTGTCCCTGACTTGTGCTACAAACAGCTGTGATTAGTACTTGTGGGGTGAGGTAGCTATTGGAAGGCCCACCTCAGGGGAGGGGGCACCAATGAGTGGCACTAGCTGGCAGGCTGCCAGGACTGGGTTTACCACAGCCATGTGGCTGGGGACCTCTTGAGTGGGCTACAGACTGCAGCTGTTGTGGCCGGTTGGGGGCAGAGAACGTGGCTGTATGAGCAGTGGGATCTGTTTTGTGGGGGGCACCAACTGCAGCCTTGGGGACCAGAGGCCTTGGCTGCTCTGGCTGCCGGGGGACTGCTGCTGGAGGCCACCAGAGCGCAGCAGCCAGTGTCCCCGTCTCCTCGACCACCTCGTCCAGAATCCAGCTCCTGGGGCAGCCCTGAGATTGGCGACCCTGGACACTGCAGAAGTCCCGGAGGTGAGGAAAAGTCCAAAAAGCTGTGTGACCTAAGAGACAGGCACAGAACCCAAATGATAACAATTGACTGTGACAAATCACCAGGATGTCTCTGATCCATGAGCCATCGATAACTCCTCCTTGTTTATTTGTTTTTATTTCACCTTTTGTTTGCAGAGAAGGGGCTGCACGCGGATCGGTTCCCCAGTTTGTTACACTGAGACAGCTCAGTAAGGCCAGGGAAGTGCTGACTGTCTCTACCGTCCCAGTGCACAATGCAGGGAATCAGGCCCTGTACCACGTCATCAGCCACTTCCCCGTGAGCTCCATCTGAGAGCCACAGCCATAGGGAGAACATGGTCTCCTGTCTGAGTAAAGAGCCGGAGCAGCCGGCCCCGTATTTGTTTGGTCCTCACCCCGTAGATGATGGGGTTTAGCACGGGGGGCACTAACACATGCACATTGGCCATAAGAATGTGGAAATGCAGGGCGATATTGAGGCCAAACTGGTGCATGAGGGCAGAGAAAATCATGGGGATGTAAAAGGCCATGATGGCGCAAAGGTGGGAGCCGCAAGTCCCAAAAGTCTTGAGCCGGGCGTCCTTTGTGGGGAGGATGAAGATGGCCCTGAGGATCTGGATGTAGGACATAGCAATGAAAAATATATCCCCACCAAGCACTGAGAAGAGCACGAAGAGGCCATAGTAACTACTGATGTGCGTGTTAGAACAGGCCAGCTTCACTACAGCCATGTGCTCGCAGTAAGTGTGGGGGATGAGGTCAGTTCTGCAATATGGCCACCGACTTGCAAGGAAAGGATACGGTAGTATGAGCATGCAGCTGCGCAGCACCACAACCAGGCCAATCCTGGTGACCATGGAGTTTGTCAGGATGGAGGAATGTCTCAGGGGATGGCAGATGGCCACGTAGCGATCCAACGCCATGGCCACAAAGATCCCAGATTCTATCGATTGGAAGCAGTGAATGAAGTACATCTGGGTGAGGCAGGCAATGAAATTGATCTTCCTGGAGTTGGACCAGAAGATGCTCAACATTTTGGGCAGGATGGCTGTAGACAGGACCAGGTCGGCAACAGCCAGCATGCAGAGGAAATAGTACATGGGCTCATGCAGGCTCAGCTCCTTCTTCACAATGAGCAGGATGGTGACGTTTCCCAAGAGGGCTATGATGTACATGGTGCAGTAGGGGATGGAGATCCAGACATGGGCAGCCTCCAGGCCAGGAATGAGTAGGTTCTGTTGAAATCAGACATGGAGTAGGGCAGGTGTCCAACTCTGAGGCAAAACGGTGTCTCCTACATGTAGAGTCGGCTCCTCTGACTTCCTGTATGCGCCTAGGGTTGTAGTACAGAAGCCTGGATGGAGACACAATGTTAATTTGAGAGACCACATGTTGGAGGCTGTTCTCGTAGGTGAAGTAGATCGGTTGCTCCTCACTCATGACACTCAATCGCTGAAAATCTGAGAGAGGGAAAAAAAGGAATTTTTTTCCAAGACGTGCTGTGCGTGGATGAGCGGAGGGGAAGGTGATGGGGGGAGACAATCCACAAGCAAAAGTCACCTCAGGGAAAAGATCCAGGCAGCATCAATAGCACTTCAATGGAAAGACCTGCTCATTCGCATTAGTGGCTCTAACAAAGGTGTAATCCGGATGCCTGTGCTATGGGGCAGGCAATAACATAGTCTGGACATGCACTTACTTTTGGTCACCCGGTCTCTCTAAAGGGTAGAGCAGATAGAAAGGGGGTTTCTGGGACAGGCTCTGAGGATAGGGGTGTGACGGACCGGGCCGTGTTTGGGCACAGCTGAGGGTGTACGCTCAGGGCAAATTGCTCAACTTCGGGGCTCTTTACAGTCCCCAGACTGGTGACCTCTCCAAACAGGCCACAAACCAGTCCCACAGAGAGCTTCAGCTGCCCTGAAGCCTCAGGAGCAAAACCCCTCCGACACCCCAGCAATATCCGTGCCCCAGATGGCCCCGGGCCTCATACACAGGTGGGGGGTCCTAGCACCCAATCCCACTTACCCCGAACAAGTTCTGTCCAGTTCCAAGAAACCAGGCACAGATCCCTGGGCAATTTTCCCTTTGGACCTTACCCACAAATCACGCTGAGCCAATCCTTTAGCATCTAACATCTAAAGGTTTATTGTTACAATAAAGAAAAGCAGGAGAGTAAGGTTGTTAAAGAATAGTACGTTACATGCATCGAATCTCCAAGTTCTCAATGCAGGCTCTAGCAGAGATGTTACAGCTGCTGGTTTAAAAGTCCTTGTTGCGCATCCTAGGATCAGGATGGGTCCACAGGTATTCTGGCTCTTCGATCCCTGCACTGCTGCCTCTGGGATAAAGTGCTGAGCTGAAGACCAAGATGGAGTCGACCACATGGCCTATTTATCCCTCCTTCCTGGTCTCTTCTTGGCTACAGCAGGTCACCTGGCCCATGGCCTATCCCCGTGTTCCCTGCTGGTAGCCCCTAGGGATGAGTCACCACTCTTGAGGTGTGTCCTTGGCCTATAGAGGGCTTCTGTTCCAGAGCTTTGCTCATTAGCGTGTCCATAGGCTGAGCTGCTTTGCCCATAGTTCAACCAAATGCACAGAAATATTCAGTATCTACTCAGATTACAGACTCCTAACTACACACACAGACATTATACAATCACATGACTAGCGTACATAGGATTAGCAGACAGTAAGCTTCTAATCAACACCCCATATGGCCCCCTTTTATACCTTTTCTGGGGCCAACACCCCCATCTATGGGTGCAGCAGTGATCTGGCTGCTTCCCTCAAATTCAGTAACGTGACAAGGGGAGGCTGCCATGTGCAAACAGAGTGTAAGTTCTGGGCCTGTTTGGTTTCGAGATGAGACAAAGGAGGCCGCAGATGCGAGAGGAGACACAAACAAAGAATTAAACTGATTCCACACCAGTGGACAATGTGAGAACAGGTCCCAACTAGTGGTCGATATTCGACACTCAGGGCATGTCCTCGCTAGCGAGAAGATTGACCCTCTGGAGGTCGATTTTCTGGCATTCGATTTACCGGGTCCTCGTGTAGACCCAACAATTGAATGCTGAGGGCAGCCCCTGCTGGTGTCCATGACATCTCATTCTGAGTTGTGTCGAGTTGTGTCCTTTAAGCCAACCTGCCTGGACCAGTATAGACCAGGCCCTAGTGCTTCGAAACACTCATTCCCCAAAGCCAAGGCACATTATCTTTAGGAGGAATTCCTGAGACAACTTAAAAGCCCCAGTTAAAACACTGGAGACCATAGCCCAGAAACGTGGTACAGTGGCACAGCGCCCTTCTGCACCCAACCGCCAACCTGGACCCCACAACCCTCCACAGAAAGGTGGCCCTTGATTATGTACCAAAATCTTGAGGTGGCCCACCGCCAAAAATCATTGCTTATCCCTGCAATAGAACCTTAACATTCCGAACACACGTATTATTCACGTACGGAGGAACCACGCATCTCAGTCCGAACCAGAAGTGAACAATCAGGAAGTGCTACAGAAAAATAAGGACAAAAAGAAATGTAGGGCAGCTCTCTGTTAAACAGAAACTATTAAAAATTAAGGGATAATGTAATAAAAAATATTAAGAAAGGTAGAAAAAAATTAAAAGCCGGCATGGGATTTGTTAAAAAAGTCTAGGAATAGAGATAAAGCCAGTCAACGTCATGTCTTATGGAAGACGAGTCATGTTAAATAAACCTGATTTCATCACGGTGTCTCCAGCTTTTGTACTGGGGATCCCTTTCTCACAGCAAGTACCTGGGTGTGATCCTCCTTATGCATCCACAGGTGTGTTGTGAGCAAGACACGAGAAGTCATTCTTCCACTCTACTCTGCGCTGGTTAGGCCTCAGTTGGAGTATTATGTCCAGTTCTGGGCACTGCATTTCAAGAACGATGTAGAGAAATTGGAGAGGGTCCGGAGAAGAACAACAAGAATGATGAAAGGCCTAGAGAACATGAGCTATGAAGGAAGACTGAAAGAATTGGGCTTGTTTAGTTTAGAAAAGAGAAGATTGAGGGGGGACATGATAGTGGTTTCTAGGTATCTAAAAGGGTGTCACAAGGAGGAAGGAGAAAACTTGTTCATCTTGGCCTCTGAGGATAGAACAAGAAGCAATGGGCTTAAACTGCAGCAAGGGAGGTTTAGGTTGGACATTAGGAAAAAGTTCCTACCTGTCAGGGTAGTCAAACCCTGGAATAAATTGCCCAGGGAGGTTGTGGAATCCCCATCTCTGGAGATATTTAAGGGTAGGTTAGATAAATCTCTATCAGGGATGGTCTAGACAGTACTGGGTCCTGCCATGAGGGCAGGGGTCTGGACTCAATGACCTCTCAAAGTCCCTTCCAGTCTTAGTATTCTATGATTCTATGTTTACAACACATTTATACATTTAGTACCATTAGAAATGCTAGGGCCAAACGGGATTTGGATGGAGTTCAGGGCCGGCCCACAACATTTTGGCACCTGAGGCGGAGAGCTCAAATGACGCCCCCAAACCTCCTCGCTTGGGCCAAAAGTTTGAAACGTCTCAATTCTGCCTTCTTCCTGTTCCGCTCCTCTCATGGTACTCCACCATCTCTGTGCATCTAGAGCAGAGAGAATACATATGCACGAGCAGCAGACACAATTTTCTATACTCTGGGTCCTTGTGGCACCTCCCCACAGTCTGGCACCTGAGGCGGCAACCTAAGTTCGCCTCATGGTAAGGACAGCTCTGATGGAGCTGTACAGCTCACCCTCCCACTCCTCCAGGAATCTTCCAACCCTTGGACCCTCGGTTTGAAACTTCCTGCGCTAATGCGACAGCACATTTGAAAATGCCATTGCTGGTGCATTCCCAGACGCAAACACCAAGTCACAGAGGGTGCCGGTACCCCCTACGCGGTGCTGGTCAGGCCTTTGCTGGAGTGCTGTGTCCGGTTTGGGTCACTGCTTTATCATCATTTCCAGATGATGGAGCATCTGGAAATGACCCCGAGCCCAAAGCCGAAGAAGACCCAAGGGAGGGAACACAGAGCATAGGATCAGAGGCTGAAGGAACTGGGGAAGTGATGTTGGGAAAAGAGGAGATTGGCGGGAGGGACATGGAGGCAGTGCACAGATATTTGAAAAGCTGCCGTAAAGCAGAAGGAGAAAAGTAGCCCTCTCTGGCCTCAGAGGGTACGTCAACACTGCACAGTTATTTCAAAATAAGCTATGTGGGAATCGTTATTCCGAAATAACTTATTTTGAAATAGCACATCTACACTGCAGGGAAGCCTCAAAACGAATTCGAGGCAGGCTTCCCTAATGTAAATGTGCTATCTCGATTTAGAGCCCCGGGAGGAATAGCTTAGAATAGCCCTGGTGTGGGGCTGTTGCGAAATAGCAGCAGTGGAGCGTCTACACAGGCCATATTTCAAAATAGCTATTTCAGAATAAGCAATCTAATTCATAGAATGAGGTTCACAGATTTCGGAACAAGCCGTCCGTTATTTCAAAATTATTTCAAAATAACGGAATGGCTGTGTAGATGCTCGCATTGTTATCTCGAAATAACGGTGCTGTGTAGACGCACTCAGAGCTCAGGACAAGAGGCACTGGGACCGAACTAAATCTTAGCAGCTGTAGGTGAAATCTCAGGGAAAAGTTCTTAGTGTTATGGAAAACGTGGACTATTCATTTGTTGGCGTGGAGCAAAATCACCCTCCCTGGCGAGATCTCTGGGTTTTTTCATGGCTGTGCAGAACGGAAAGGACCCCGGATTGACACTCTATTCCATCACACCCTCACTGTATGGGTTTCTGGAGCAGGGGAGCTTCTCAGGAAGAGACGGTACCTGCGAATTTGGAGACAGAAGTGTCTTCCCTGGGAACCCCCCTCAGGCAGCCGTGTCCCACACCTCTCTCAGCCCAGAGTCTGCAGCAGCCTCCCACACCAAGAGCGGGCACAGGGATGTGCACCAGTTATAAGACAGCTCTGGGCCGTCCCAGTGGGGTTCACTCAACTTGTAAGAGAGAAGTAGCATCTGGATGTAACGAGGCAGGAGACCTGCCTGTCTGGTCTTCTGGGCTATTTATCCTGCAACTGGAGTAAACAGCATTTAAGGGCCCTTCCCCAGGGGCGAGGAGAACTCCTGGGCTCTGGGATGAGACAGGGAGGAATTGGCTGCTCTGAGGATTTGTGTTTAATCAGCAATTGTAATGGTTTAGGAAGAAAACTAGGGATAATGCCCAGATCTGTGTAATGTCTGATAACCTGTAAGGGCCCAGGATGGTTCAGTGGATGTTTGACTCACAGATCTGGAGGCAGATGTCTAAGGGAAGAGAGGAACCCTTTGTACAGGGCAATGGAGCTGTCACCAAGGGGTCAGAGATCAGCAGAAACTGTCATCTCACTGCAGGAAAGTCGCTATGGCTATATCTCCATTGTACAGCTAGTCTAACTGAGGCCAAGAGAAACATGACTTAGCCAAAGTCACACAGAGGACTATTGGCACGTGAAGGAACCCAGACTTCTGACATCCCTGCTGGAAAATTCGGTTCCCTTTCTTTCACAAGTGTTGTTCCTTGAGAAGTGTTGCACACACGGGTTCTGTTCCAGCCCTGTTCACCCCCATGTACAGCATCCCAGAGATGTTTGCCTGGGCCATGTCTCTAGGTTTAGCTGTGTCACCCTCTGGAGAGCTGTACCTGTGTGTTACTGTATTACACGCCGTCGGCCCTACAGCCTCCCAGCTGTTTCTTGCCGGCAACTCAAACAAATGGAAGGGTGTGGTAAGAGAATGGACATGAGCTACCCAAACGTCACAAAAAACAACCGATAGAACACGTAGGTTACTGGTTTGTTTTTCTTATTCAAATATGTCCTCATGCCGGTTCTAGAACAGCTGATTCACAAGCGGTAGCCACAAAGATGGGCAGAGAGTACATGGTCGTTCTGGGTTCAACACTGTTCTACCTTAGCCAGCATCACCTTGGACAAGCTAGGTAAGCTGGTAATGAGACATACGGTGCAGATAGATGACAGCTAGTGCTTCTCAGACTTTGTGAATTGGTGCATGAGCCACCCGGAAGGCCTGCTCCCTCATGGGGTGCACGGTTACCATGGCTGGTGGAGGATCTTTCGCTGGATTATACCACCAACAGGGAAGATGCAGGGTGTGAACTCAGATAAGCCCCTCTGAGCAGACAGTAGATGACTTTCCATCCTCTCTGTCATGGCCACGAACGATAGTGTGATCTTGCAAATCATCCTAGTCCCATAGGAATTTGTTTTCATTCATTGTTCATTTACTGTGTGGAACTATGATTATGCTATAGCATAAACGTTCACTATGTGGCCATTAGAGTAAAATTGTAGGATTATAAAAGTACGAGACAGTCCGTCTAAACTATGTTGGAGACATGAGTCACGGAAGCTGAAACTCAAGAACGGGGGGGTTAAGGCCTGCACAATTTCAGCCAAGCTATTTTAGGCACTGGAGACAGGATGTGATGACATGTGGGACCAGGACGTATCCCGATGGCAGAAGATTATGGAAAACAGGCACTAAGTGACAGTATTGCGCTGTCTACCAGCTCTGTGTCGATGCTGGCGAGTATAAAGGGAATGTACCCAGCCTAGATATAATTGGTGTCTCCTAAATGTCCGTGGCTCACAGACCAGCCAGTGACAAGAGGCTCCAATGGGCCTATGGAGGGGAGGCCAGAGAGATACCTCAGGATTCAGCAGGGCGTGTAGGCCGATGTGCATGGCCTGAACTTTAAGGCTTCGGGCCATTGGCTGGAGAAGTTGTGTGTGGAATGTGTGTGTGTGTCCGGAGAAGGTGGACACATTCACACTTTCAGCCGGGTGCCTGGAGAGCGTCTGTGTGCCATCCTGTTCTGTTGCCCCACTCGCTGTTGGGGGCTGGGCCGCTCAGGCACGTGCTGTCCCTGTGGCCCCTTTCTCTCTGGAGTGGCGCACTGGGTCGCCCCATCCTGCTCTCTCTCATGCTCCCCCACGGTGTGCGGCCGGCCACAGGACGTGAGCAGTTACCCACCCAAAACGGTCTGAACAATCTGAAAGGGTTTGTAGAGTTCTACCAACCCTCTGTGGAAAAGAGGAGACCAAGTGGGAGATCAGAGGTTCCCAAACCGTGGTCTGCGCACCCCTGGTGATCCGTGACGGTACTGTCGGGGGTCTGTGGAAAGCATAGGAAAGGAAAAGAAAAGTAAGGATTGGCTCCCACCGCGGGACTGGGACTTTCCGCGAGGCGAGTCTCACCCGGAGCTGGTCAATGGTGACCGGACACTTGCACGCTGCCTCCCACCCTCAGGATGGGATATTGATACCCCGGGAGGCACCGTCCCCCCTCCTGTCTCCAACTGTGCTACTGTTTATGCGCTAGCCTTCTCCTCCAGTCCTGCAGTTGTCCCGATTCTTTCCTTTTCTTTTTGATCCTCCCCCAGGTCGCTGTGCCTGAGAAGGAGCTGGATTTGGTCACACGAGCCCCCCCGCCGTATCCTCCATAGATGGGCAGGGGACAGAGGATGCAGGACCTGAGGAAGCAGCACAGGCCAAGGCCCGCTGCTACCCCATTGCCCGCCATTTCCCACAACTCCCCTTGGGGTGTAGGTCCGTACGCTCAAAAAGTTTGGGAAACTGTAAGAGTTATTAGACAGTTGGGCCTGAGGGTGGAGCAGGCCTCAATACCCACACTAGCCTAAATGGTAATATAGCCCCGATCCTAGTTCATGGAGGGCAGGCAAGCAAACAGTTCCCACAGGCTATGTCTAGACTGCAAGCCTCTTTCGAAAGAGGCTTTTTCGAAAGAAAGCAGCGAGTGAGTCTGGATGCTCTCTTTCTAAAAATCCCTGTTGGCATTCAAGAACACCTTTTTTCGAAAGGGCACTTTCGAAAAAAGGCGTTCTTCCTTGTGCAATGAGGTTTACCGCCGTCGAAAGAAAAGCCGCGTTCTTTCGATTTAATTTCGAAAGAACGCGGCTGCAGTCCAGACGCAGGTGAAGTTTTTTTGAAAAAAACCCCGAGTCTGGACACAGACACAGTAAGTAGCATCCCAGTCCCTGGTTCAGGGAGGGGCAGGCAAACTATCAGCACAAGTGGGGTTAGGAGGCAGGGGTGGAGGGCATGGGCCCTCCTTTCTCCATGGCATCCCAGCCCAGGGCCCAAGCAGTGGCTGCCTTGGTGGCCGCTGAGGTCATCAGGGAATCCGAAACATACTGAGACACATCATAGGGCTATCGGGTCCACCTGACCATCCTCTGCTTCCCCTGGGCCACTTCTGGACTCCCCCTCAGTCTGTACCTGGCTCCCAGGCTGCGGCAGGTTCACAGGGTCTCCGTAGCCCACATTTGGGGGTAGGGCAAAAAGGGTTTCTTCCTGAATGCCTGGGTCCGGTGGCCCGGGCCAGTCATCGGCCTCGGCTGGACCCTCCGGTTCCCCCCGGTGTGAGAGTTCACGGTAGGTCTCTGCTCCCTCCAGCAGCTGGGCCCCTGCTGAGCTTCTGGGCTCAGCTTTTATACTTCCTGCCCCTCCCCCTGCCTCTGTGGATTTAAAGAGGCAGGCTCCATCTCAGCCCAACCGGGCTCAGAGGAAGGTTCCTCCTCCTCCAGGTCAGTGAGCAGTCAACACTGCTCCCTACAGAACCATCATGACAGAGGTCTATGAAATCATGACTGGTGTGGAGAAAGTGACTAAGGAAAAGTTATTTACTTGTTCCCATTACATTACGAGGGATCACCATATTAAAATAATGGGTGGCAGGTTTAAAACAAAAACCAGGACATTTTTCTTTATGCCACGCACAGTCAATCTGTGGAACTTGCCAGAGGACGTCATGAAGACTAGAACTATAACATGGTTGAAAAACCCTCAATAACTTCATTGAGGTTAGATCCATCGATATTTCTTAGCCAGGATGGGTAGGAATGGTGTCCTGAACCTCTGTTTATGGGAGGTTGGGAATGGATGACAGGGGAGTGATCATGTGATGATTCTCTGTTCTATTCACTCCCTCTGGGGCATCTGGCATTGGCCACTGTGGGCAGACAAGATGTTGGGCTAGATGGACTTCTGCTCTGATCCAGTCTGGCCATTCTTATGTTCTTACAGACGTGTGTGAGGGTTTGAGCCTGAGTACGCCCTCGCTGGACGTGAGCACACTCTTGTATTGTCCCATTTGTGTAAATCATGGTCAGATGGCCGTGTATCCATGGATTTCTTCCCAGGCACTGCCTCACACAGTTATCCAGTGCCTCAATGAGATTCACAAATAATCTAGTTAATCTAGCCCAAGACCTGTCCCTGACTTGTACCACACACAGCTGTGATTAGTACTTGTGGGGCGAGGTAGCTATAGGAAGGTCCACCTCAAGGCGGGGGAGGCACGTAGGAGTGGCACTAGCTGGCCAAGACTAGGGACTGGATTTGACATGGCCACCTGGCTGGGGACCCCTGTGTGGGTTGCAGTCTGCAGCTGTTGTGGCTGGTTGAGGGCCGATGCTGGGGGTGGGGCAGAGAACCTGGCTGTATGACCAATGGGGCCTGTTTTGTGGGGGCTACCCAGTGCAGTGACCTGGCCAGCTGGCAGGGGGGCTGACAGCAGCCAGTGCTACTGTCTCCTGGACCACCAGGCCTGGAATCGTCTCCCAGGGCGGCCCTGAGGTCAGCCACACTGGACACAGCAGAATCCCGGAGGTCAGGGAACGTCCAACAAGCCATGACCCATGTGACCTAAGTGATAGGCACTCGGCCTTAACAATGACAATTGACTGTGAACAATCACGTGAATATTTCTGATACATGACCCATCGATAACGCCTCCTTGTTTATTTATTTTTCTGACACGGGGAAAATGTTGGCTCCTGTCTCAGTAAAGAACCGGAGCAGCCGGTCCCGTATATGTTTGGTCCTCACCCCATAGATGATGGGGTTTAGCATCGGGGGCACTAACACATTTACATTAGCCATAAGAATGTGGAAATGCAGGCCTATGTTGCGGCCAAACCGGTGCATGAGGGCAGAAAAAATCATGGGGATGTAAAAGGTCATGATGGCACAGAGGTGGGAGCCACAGGTCCCAAAAGTCTTGAGCCGGGCATCTTTTGTGGGGAGTCTGAAGACGGCCCTGAGGATCTGGACGTAGGATATGGAAATGAAAAATATATCCCCACCAAGCAGAGAGAAGACCACAAAGAGGCCGTAGTAACTACTGATGTGCATGTTGGCACAGGCCAGGTTCACCACGGCCATGTGCTCGCAATAAGTGTGGGGAATGAGGTCAGTTCTGCAATATGGCCAGTGACTAGCGAGGAATGGATGCGGTAGTACAAGCATGCAACTGCGCAGTACCACGGCCAGGGCAATCCTGATGACCATGGAGTTTGTCAGGATGGAGGAATGTCGCAGGGGATGGCAGATGGCCACGTAGCGATCCAACGCCATGGCCACAAAGATCCCAGATTCCATTGATTGGACGCAGTGAATGAAGTACATCTGGGTGAGGCAGGCACTGAAACTGATCTCCCTGGAGTTGAACCAGAAGATCGACAACATTTTGGGCACGATGGAGGTGGACAGGACCAGGTCGGCAACGGCCAGCATGCAGAGGAAATAGTACATGGGCTCATGAAGGCTTGGCTCCCTCTTCACAATGAGCAGGATGATGACGTTCCCAAAGAGGGCTATAAGATACATGCTGCAGAAGGGGATGGAGATCCAGACGTAGGCTGTCTCCAGGCCAGGAAAGCCCAGCAGGATGAAGTTGGAGGGATTACTGAAGTGGGTGGTGTTGGAATCTGACATGGAGCTGAGGACCTCCTACGTGTAGTGTATACTCTTCTGACTTCCTGTACGCCTCCAGGGTCTACAGTGATGGTTGTAGGACAAAAGCCTGGATGGAGAGACAATGTTAATTTGTGTCATCATGTGCACTGCTGGAGGTTATTCTCAGAGGTGAAGTAGATCGGTTGCTCTTCACCCACTAAAACATGACATTCTCATTATTCGGAGAAAAGAATTATGAACAAGGAACCCTATTAATGCCAGTGCCATGTTCAATAGTGTTTCATTCATGAATGATTCCTACATGTCCTGAAGTGGTAAATGTTACAAGGCACCAGCAGGAAGCATGAGATGGTTATTCCTTCATGTAACTGTGTACCAGGCGATAGAACAATTAGTAGTTCTGTGGCATTTTAGAGACAAATATATGCAGTCATGAGGTTTTGTGGGCAAAACCCACTTCAAATGACAGACTCCAATGTATATATAACAGCAAAAGCAGTTATCTGTCGTTTGTAGGACCCATGCTAATGAAGCTACTTACGTAAGTTGGATACTTCCCATTCATAGACTTTGATGGATGTGAAAATGTGAATATTCAAGGCAGGGGAAATTACAACGACAATTTTCCCTGTCTTTGACATTCACATTTTCACATCCAAAGCTATGAATGGGATGCATTTTGCCTGACTCAGTGTCATTAACACGGGTCCTACAATTGGCCGATAATGGCTTTTTGTGTTATAGATACCTTGGATTCCATTATTTCCACTCCAACTCATTTGATAAAGTGGGGTTTGGCCGTACAAGCTCGTGGTCGTGTGTTTGCTGGTCTCTAAGGTGGCACAGGACTACTCATTTTCAGTTACAGATTAACATGGCAACCCCTTGGAGCTGTTTTACCTGCCTAGAGAGACCTTCTTGTAGGGAACTCCCCTTTCACTCAGTCGCTCAAAATCTGTGTGGGGATGAGGAGTAGGGAAGCCAATGGGGGGGAGACAGTCCACAAGTAGAAGTCACCTCAGGGAAAAGATCCAGGCAGCATTAATAACACCTTTATGGAAACTCCTACTCGTTTGCATTAGTGGCTCAAAGGCAGAATCTGGATGCCTAAGCTATGGGGCAGGGAATAACATGCTCTGGACACGCATTCCCTTTTGGTTATGCGGTCTCCCTAAAGGGTAGAGGTGATTGAAAGGGAGTTTCTGGGACAGGGTATGAGGATGGGGGAGGCTGCCATGGGTGGACAGTCTGGGTATGTCTACACTAGCCTCCTAGTTCGAACTAGGGTGGCTAATGTTGGCATTTGAAGTTGCAAATGAAGCCTGGGATTTAAATATCCCGGGCTTCATTTGCATCTTCCCGGGCGCCACCATTTTTAAATGTCCCTTAGTCCGAACTCCGTGCCCATGGCTACATGCGGCATGGAGTAGGTAGTTCGAATTAGGATCTCTAATTGAAACTACCAGTACACCTCGTTCGTAATTCGAACTACCTACTCCATGCCACGTATAGCCGTGGGCACGGAGTTCGGACTAAGGGACATTTAAAAATGGTGGCGCCCGGGAAGATGCAAATGAAGCCCGGGATATTTAAATCCCAGGCTTCATTTGCAACTTCAAATGCCAACATTAGCCACCCTAGTTCGAACTAGGAGGCTAGTGTAGACATACCCAGACTGTCCACCCATGGCAGCCTCCCCCATCCTCATACCCTGTCCCAGAAACTCCCTTTCAATCACCTCTACCCTTTAGGGAGACCGCATAACCAAAAGGGAAGGAACTGTTTGGTTTTAAGACGAGACAATGGAGGCCACAGATACGAGAGGAGACACAAAGAATGAAACTGCTTCCACTCCAGTGGACAATGTGAGAACAGGTCCCGACTAGTGGTCGCTATTTGACACTCAGGGCATGTCCATGGTAACAAGAAGATCGACCCTCCATAGGTCAACCTTCTGTCATTCGATTTACTGGGTCCTTGTGTACACCCATCAATTGAATTCTGAGGGCAGCCCCTACCGGTGTCTATGATGCCTCATTCGGTGTTGTGTTGAGTTGCGTTGAGTTGCGTCCCTTAAGCCAACCTTCCTGGTTTAGTGTAGACCAGGCCCTAGTGCTTCAAAAGGCTAATTCTCCAAAAGTGAGGCAAATCATCTTTAAGAGGAGTTCATGAGCTAGCTTAAATCCCCAGTGAAAAAACTGGAGACCAGAAACCTAGTTCAGTGGCACAGTGAAGGCAGCAGTTGGGCAGGGGAACCAATATGGAAATGTGGCAAAGGGAAATACAATGCAAATGGAAGTTATGAAAATTGAAGAGACATTAAATATACCAAAGAAAAAAATCCATGTTTGGCTGGGCAAAGGAACACACAAAAGTGGCTCTTGAGCATAGAAAAACAGAAATACTAGAAAATCCTTTTTTGCTGAGAGGGCAAAAAAGAAAACATATATTTGCTTTGTCTTTGGAAAGAAGCATACAACTGAGCATTGTCTTGTGTGCTAGATGCCATCATAGACCAGCCATGCCCCTCCGCCAGGTATATTGGAAAAACTGGACATTGTCTTTGACAAAGGATTAATGGACACAAACCAGACATCACAGAAATACACAGAAATCTGGAGGGGAACATTTTAACCTGCCCGATCGCTCTGTCATTTCTTTAAAAGTAGCCATTTTTCAATAGTATCAAGGATCAGAGGGGTAGCCGTGTTAGTCTGAATCTGCAAAAGCGATGAGGATTCCTGTGGCACCTTATAGACTAACTAAGTGTTGGAGCATAAGCTTTCGTGGGCAAAGACCCACTTCCTCAGATGCATTTTTCAATAGGAATTTCAGGAACCAATTACAAGGAGGGGGGCAGGACAGGAATTCACCAACGGTCCTTCTGCACAGCACCATAAACTAAGAATAACATATCTCAAGTCTATTTTAAAATAGTGATAGAAATGTAGCCGTGTTAGTCTTGTGTAGCTGAAGCAAAATGCAGGACAACGTAGCACTTTAAAGACTAACAAGATGGTTTATTAGATGATGAGCTTTCGTGGGCCAGACCCACTTCCTCAGATCAAATAGTGGAAGAAAATAGTCACAACCAGTGGAAGAAAATAGCTTATTTTGAAATTTGGCGTGTCTACACGGTGCCAAGTTTCAAAATCCTTTTACACGTGTGCAATGAGGTCTACTGGGATGGAAAAATAGCACAGCCATTATTTTAAAAAATATTTTGAAATAACGGGTGGCTTGTGTAGACGTGGGGTAGCTAATTCGAGATACCTCTGGTATCCCAAAATAGCTGTGCAGTGTAGATTTATCCCTTCAGATGTGACTGTTACCCTGGGCTTGAATAAAGACATTAACTGGTTAGCACGTACTAAAGCCACTTTCTCCTGCCTTTAACATCTGCATTTCCACATGGAAAGCCATGTATGGGACACATCCAGCCTACTTCCTTATCCTCAGTAACACTGGTCCTACAATTACCCGGAACATCTGCTGTTATACATTTCTCTTGGTTCCTGTTAGTTCCACTCTAACTCATTGGATGAAGTAGGGTTTGTGCACAAAAGCTCATGAGTCTATGTGTTTTGGTTAGTCTCCAAGCTAACCCAGGACTACTCGTTGTTGTTCATGTCACCGAAGGTAGCGAAATGCTTTTCACCCCATTAACTGTCAAGGAGCAGGTTAATCATAGCAACACAGAATACTAGGAATGGAAGGGATCTCGAGAGGTCATCGAGTCCAGTTCCCTGCCCCTATGGCAGGACCAAAAACTGTCTAGACCATCCCTGATAGACATTTATCTAACCTACTCTTAAATATCCCCACAGATGGAGATTCCATAACCTCCCTGGGCAATTTATTCCACTGTGTGACCACCCTGACAGTTAGGAACTTTTTCCTAATGTCCAACCTAAACCTCCCTTGCTGAAGTTTAAGCCCATTGCTTCTTGTCCTATCCTCAGAGGCCAAGATGAACAAGTTTTCTCCCTCTTCCTTATGACACCCTTTGAGATACCTAAAAATTATCATGCCCCCCCTCAGTCTTCTCTTTTCTAAACTAAACAAACCCAATTCTTTCAGCCTTCCCTCATAGGTCATGTTCTCTAGACCTTTCATCATTCTTGTTCTTCTTCTCTGGACCCTCTCCAATTTCTCCACATCGTTCTTGAAATGTGGTGCCCAGAACTGGAAACAATACTCCAACTGAGGCCTAACCAGTGCAGAGTAGAGCGGAAGAATGACTTCTTGTGTCCTGCTCACAACACACCTGTTAATGCATCCCAGAATCATGTTTGCTTTTTTGGGAACATGATATACATCATGTTAAACAGGATTTACAATAGGACCTTATAGTGCTGAACATCCGAGTTATAAGTCAGAACCAGAAGTGCACAATCAGGAAGCACTAGAGAAAACAAGGCAAATACAGGGCAGCTTTCTGTGAAACAGAAACTAATAACCATAAAGGGAAAATTTAATGAAAATATTAACAAGGGTAGAAAAAAAACTGGTCTGCGATTTGTTACAAAGGTCTAGAAACAGAGATAAAGCCAGTCAATGCCCTGGCTTATAGAAGATGAGTCATATCCAATAAATGCAATTTCATCACTGGTTCTCCAGCTTTTGTACTGGGGATCCCTTTCTTATACATTACAACGCGTTTATACATTTAACACCATTAGAAATGCTGGAGGCAAAGCGGGATTTGGATGGAGGTGGACAACTCGAGGCCCCCGCCCCCAGCCCTTAGACCCTCAGTTTGAAACGTCCTACTTTAATGAGAGAGCAAAAATGCCATTGCGGGTGCATTCCCAGATGCAAACACAGAAGTCACAGAGGGTGCGGGTATCCCCCTACTCAGTGCTGAGCAGGCCTCTGCTGGAGTGCTGTGTCCGGTTTGGGTCACCAATTTATCGGCTGATTATAGAGCATCTGGAAATGACCCTGAGCCCAAAGCCAAAGAAGATCCAAGGGAGGGAACACGGAGCATAGGAACAGAGGCTGAAGGAACTAGGGAT